TAAGGCCATTCAAAATAGATGACCTTTCAGGTACTTCTTGTTGTACATTCTCTCTTTCAACATCTGTCAGCAACAACACTACAACAATTTCGATAGGTCATTTGATACAAGTGAAATTACATGGAATTATTTACAGATGCTAAGCTCAACAATTTGACTTTTGAAATTATTGTTTGATATCGCTCCCAATGCATGCTTGTATGCAAATACGTATTGCAAATAGCAGGATTTTTGGAAAAGAGTTAAATGTTGATGGAAATGTTTCCAGAAATTAGAGCAGAGGTCCTCGATTTGTCACTTTTCCTTAAATGTAACCATGAAAAAATATGCATGTAATAGAATTGAAATGTAGCAAAATTGGAAAAGGTTTTTCAAATTTGAAATTTGTGAGGAGCTGAAATGGAAGAGACCAATTTGACATTTTCGAAAACATGCAGCACCAACCGTCTCTTAACTGTTGAATTTATCAAAACTTTCTCTTCATTCTTCCAGCATAAAAACAATTTTCCCTCGCTATTGCATTACCTTTTTGTGCTGTGTCACCTCCTTAAATAGCTCATTTGTAAGATCACTGTCGTAAAAGAGCTATTTTGAATAATAGTGGATGAATTTATCAACTTTTAGTTGATTTTTCTCTCGTAATTTTGGAAAGAAAATGGGAAAATAACTGTTTTGTCTAGTTGATTCGTTGGTGGCTTTGGCTTGGAATGGTCACTAAGTAGCCTAAATTTCTTACAGAAATTTTCCAAGAAAAACTTGGTCGTTAGGGATCATCAGGGAGATATTTTGAGAGGGAAATTTTTTAAGAAAGATAATGATAATAAATTTACCATGTAGTTCTAAATTTGCAACAATGCAATGTTATCAATGATAGCTGGATAAAGAGACGTCAAAGTATATGAGGAAAAGATAACAAAAGAGAATGGAAATCCGTCGAATAACAGCACGCATAAATCAGAAGATTTCTTGTGTGTAGAACTCCTGATTTCCTTCCTAGCCCGAAATCAGTTCTGAAAAAGGAACATTGCTGCTGACCTTGAACACTTTCTTGTCTTTTTGCTTTATTTGTGACCGTCACACTGTGAAGTATGCAGGCAGTTCAGACTTGTTTGTCAGATATATATATGTATATGGTATGTATTCGTCCACATTTATGTCCGTCTATTTGATTAAAATCTTTATAACAACCTTCATAAATCTTCCGACAACATTTTTTAACAGAACATTTTTCCATTTTAACAACACGTCGTGTTTTTTGTTTACTGGGTGGTCCTGGTTATGAATTCGTGTGTACTTGCATATTTTACATTCTTTGGAACTGCTTTATTCGAAGTTTGCTTCCAACTTCTTTACAAACATGCTGGCCATTCGTATGTACTCGCATATTTACATTCTTTGGAACTACTTAGGTACTACTTTTCTAACGGTGTCTATTTTTGTATGTGCGCTTATTTGTCAACTGCTTGTTTATTAAGAACTAGTTGCTCTAAAAGGATTTGGAATTCATCATATTCAAGAAATTTTTCCCCTTAAATTTTATTTTGATCTTATCTTTATGAACAGATCATAATAACCATTGTTTAACTTTATGGACTAGAAATCCTGTTTTTAATGACTGAAGTCGATTTCTTTCCTTTGGTAGTGTATCAGTCTTGAAATACTGAGATTAGTCAAGAAGTACAGCCACTGTTCTCATTTCTGTTTGTCCATTCATATTGCCTCTTAAAGGATTCAAATTTAAGACTTAGAATTGAAGTTGTTAAAACAACTTATTCCCTTTTATAATTGCTTTATTGATTATACTTCCTAACTCTTCCTTACCATTTCGGAAAACAATTCTCATTCTTACAGGATCTCAGGAAGAAACTGAATTTGAGTCAGTTCACTGATGATTCTATGGTAATCTGTTAAAAGTACCTACGTGGTGGTGACACAACTACAAATAATTGTCGCTTCAAAATTTGCACCTCCGTTTTACTTTATCCGGTTTAAACTGCCCATTATTGTGGATTATGGTTCTCGATAACTAGTCTTGAGTAATTTATTTTCCATTTTTATAACAATTACAATCAGTGGGCAAATGAATGGTAGGGATGACTGACGTTGTGAGCCCTTCGAAAGGTTCGTTCGGCCTATATCTCGTTGCGGTAATGTATTTGCTTTTCTAGGTTTATTGTGACATATAATATATTATCATTCAGTCCTCCAGAAATAAATGTACCTGCTAGAAGGGTGAGTGAGTAGCAAAGGAAAAAATTCCTTTTTCGTTTTATACCAATGAATAAAATGTTTTTGACAAAAGCAATTTATTTGTTATGTGACAGTTCAAAGAAACGAAATTCTACCCTCCTTTTACACAACCGTTATTTTGACAAAATGCTACGAGAGTGTTTTCACCTTCAAGTTAATTCGACAAAGAAAACTTTGAAATTGATGAACAAAATTGAAGGAGTCATTTGTCAAATAAATTTCTTCACTTAATTTAAAAGTGGTAAGCTTTAACAAAAATAATTATTTTGTAAATTATCCTACTGTTTTATCCTACGGTAGTATTTTCTTGCTGTCACCCATGCTTATGTTATTTCAAACACCAGTATCGAAGGATAGGTGCTAATTAGAAATGCAATTAAGTCAACGAATGGGACCAGATGTGGGGATTGTCCCACAGATTTGTTTTGTAAAAGTCGAAAATATCTACGAATTTCTGAATGGTATATTACTGCGACAAAAACAATTCAGTTGAAGAAATCGAGAGAAGGATGAATTGCAAGCAATTATTTTAGACAAAGTTTACGTTTTAAGCGGATCTGAGCAACGAGGTCTTAGAATGTCCAGCTAGTACTTAAGAATGTCGGGAAGAAACCGACAGATTTTTCAAAATTTTTAAATAAAAGTAAAATACGCAAACAAGTTGAATGTGGATGGTAGGGGAGCAATTATAATTTTTGATTTTTGTAACAACTCATTTCCACGGGAAAATCTAATATAGACGTTTTTGTGTCGTATACTCTGTATGGTAAAGCTGTCATATCACTCAAGAGAATGTGCATCACTGTTAATAATTTAGTCCCACACATCTCACTTCTCAAATATAGGATAGTCTAGTTTAGAATAGTCAAAGATACCGCTGCAGTCTTGTGGCATAATTTGTTTCACTATCAGCTTTATATTTTTAGTTTTCAACCAGGTGACCATTTCCATTCATTACCTTTCCGCCATTAAATATCCGGAAGGCACCATCGAAAGGTCATGTTTTTAGTCCAGCACATTTTAGTTTCATGAGTGTTGCTTCCCTCTTATTCGAGAGTGTTAACAGCAGTCATCAAATAATTTTTTCATATCAGTTTAAATTTAATTCATTATAAGAATTTATAATTTTCGAACTTGCATCATTCACTAATTCTGTCAAATGGGAGTCCATTGTTACCATTAAATTTATCATAACGAAGTACGAAAATATTTTCTACCAATAACGGGAAACTAACTGAGAAAGGTCATAAACATTTCTGATATATAGTCAAATATCAAATGATAACAATATATCATAAGGTTGAGTAAAGGCATTAGCATAGTACTGGTTGGGATAATGCGAGACGAGGATTTGGATTTGAATTGGGAATGAACGAGAGTGAGTGCACGGAGGGAAAGTTACCATTTAAGAATTGGTGATATATTGATTCTGAATAAATATTATTCCTCCTCTGAAAATAGTTTAATAAATCATAGTAACGGCATTCCCAATGTGCTACACGGCATCCTTCATGTCACACTCTTTCATCCCAATCTACGAGCAATGCAGTCTGAAAATTCATTTATGTTATGCAGCGTGTAGAGATGGATGTGTTGCCCGCAGAACAGCTATTAATCATTACGCTGGGAGGATGACACGGAAGAAGAAGGATAAGGTTTCAGCTTTTTCCGTATATGTTCAGATTCAACACATACTAACTTACTTTCTCATTGTCCAAGTATCGTTTGTTTCACTTGTCATCTCGCATTTCCTCATATGACAATTTTTCTTCGGCAATTTTTTACTGTCATGAACAGCAATTTCCATGCAGTTGCTTAAATAGTTTCCAGTTCAAGAAGTTTAAGATGTGATTTAAGCCATCATTATAAATGTTTACCCTTTCTTCCTTTCCTGCTCATTTATCCGCTTACTTCATCTTTTGAAATGTTTTTTTTTTTTNTGTTGGATAGACTTTATTTAAATTAAACGGAAGCTTAAAAGTAGTACTCATATTGTTTCTTTGTTATTTCATAACATTTCCTATCTGGAGTAAATCTTGTTATATTCGATCATACCAAAGGATACTTAATATTTGCCCTCATCATAATCTCTTATCTCTCACTTTATCATATAGGATGCTACATGAATAGCTTCAGTATGCAGTCATTAAAAGAAGCGAATTTAGTTGCTTTAAATCATCTTTCACTCTTATTCATTTGAAAGCACCAATCTGAAAAACCATTTAGTATTCAGCGAGGTAATTTGGTTTTAAAATAGAAATATGGTAAACTTCCCATGTGAAGCAATATCTTTTTTTTGATGTAAAGATAAGTTCATTACCACAATATGTATCCACTGACCATCTATTATTATTATTATTATTTTTGTTATTTTTATTATCTCATTGCTTCTAGTATATGTGTCTTAAGCAGATATTGTGTAAGTACTTGGTATATTTGAGAGTTTCATAGATTAAAAATTTAGGTTTAGATATTTATTTTGAAGCTTTAGTCATACTTACTATAATGCTGAGCAGTCAAAGGTAAAAAAGATGAAGAAGGCTAAGAAGGGTAAATTTTAGAGTTTGTTGTTGTTCAGTATTATTCGGCTAAACCGGATTAGAAGTGTCGGATGTGTTATGTGCAATGACGAGGACCGCCAGCTTGCTCAGATGTCCTTCCACTCATCATCAAACAATATGGTATCTGCTTTTGAAGCGACTTAATAACAGTTATAACTCAGTTGGTCACTGAGACCTTCTTTAGACGGTTCACCAATTCTCCCCTTCCTCCTTCTCCTTCTTCTCCTCCTCCTTCTCCTTCTTCTCCTCCTTCTTCTCCTCCTTCTTCTCCTCCT